ACAATAGACTCTCCAAGTATCACCCAGAAGAATGTCGAAGGTTTTTAATTATAATTTGTGATATAAAAATAGCATAATACCTACTTGAATATGAATAAAAGAAAACTTAAACTTATTCATTAAATCAGTCATATTAATTGCTAATTTATAGTCAAAAATATTAAATAGTAGGAAGATAAACCAAGGGAATTAATGTATTAGGCATATAAATCCTTTCGTAATCTCATGCTTTAAAACTTTCAGGATGGTTCGCATACTTCCATGCACAATAAGGATGTTGTTTGGGCTCCCACTGGCCCCCACGCTACTGCAATGCATCGGATATATTCGCCGATGCCCACTTAGACGACTCCCCTTCAATGATGCGCAAGAGGATTGTATCACTGATGCACAGGGTTTGTAGAAGCGCCGACAGCATTCCTGATATTATCGGAAAAAAACCGGAGTGTGCCATTCTGAGGCACTAGGTACATATGCACGTCCGGTGACGGCATGACCGATGCCTCAGAGGGTAAATACACACATCAAAAGTGTCTAGGGATCAAGCATTTTTATGCGGATTTCTTGAGATTGAGATGTGGCTTTGTAATAAATTTATGATTTTATAAATTTATATGGATCCTTTTTGGTGTATTACCACCTATAGCAATGCACAATCGTAGGATTCGATATCAATGGGCTCTTGAACACAGAAATTGGGCAGAAGAACAATGGCGTTTCGTGTGCTTTTCTGATGAGTCTCGTTTTGGTATGAGACCGGATACAAGACGTATACGACACTGGAGAACCCCTGGACGCCAACAGCGATTAAAATCCTGCCAGGAAGTCCATCCTTATAGTGGTGGAACCATCATGGTATGGGCGGGTATTTGGATCGGCGGAAGAACTGAGTTGATTTGGATCAGAGGCAACCTCAACGCTCAAATTTATGCTGAGACGATTGTATCAGACGTCATCGTTCCTCTACAAGTGCAAATCGGTCCCTTATTTCAGTTAATGCATGATAATGCACGACCGCACACCGCAAGAGTTGTAAGACAGACTCTCGCCGCAGCTAACATCAATGTCCTGCCCTGGCCTGCTCAGTCGCCAGACTTGAACCCGATTGAGCATGCATGGGATATGCTACAGAGAAGAGCTCTGCCGAATATGGAGGGTATCCAGTCGCAAGAAGACCTTTTTTTGTTGTTGCAACGAACATGGGCGGCCATTCCACAGCGTGATTTGGATGAACTCATTTTGAGTATGCCAAACCGATGTTCTTGTGTTGTTAGTGTTCGCGGTAGAAATACGGATTATTAATTGTTTAAGTTACCCAATAAAATTTTAGAGAAAACTGTTATTTCAGTCTTTTTTTCGAACTTTTGTGTTAGTGGTTCAAATGTCAAAAATCCCTTTATTAGGAAAATGGCAAATTTCTTTATTAATGCAAAGGTGACTTGGTTTATCGTTACTGTGACAAACGAAAACACTTTATTTGATGAATCCTTAAAGAAAATTTTAATTAATATCAATCAGGAGAAAAGTTATTGCAAAAATATATGTTGATCCCTAGACACTTTTGATGTGTGTATATGAATTAAATAAATTTTATGTTCAAAATGTACTAACATAGTTTTTAAGGTTTGATTGTTACTCTGTAATAAAACATTTATGAAACATTATGAAACCATACATTTTATTTATTCTCTTCGTTTTTTTGAGTGTGTATGCTGTTGGTTGCAGATGACCTTTACAGCGTCACCGGGTGTGGGCACGGCGAGATCCTAAGTGGACCTCAAGCCGAGAATTGGCGAGTGCCTCTAGAGGTATTCCAGGCGGGTGGCATCTCCTCACAGGGGGTGTATCCTCTGCGTCTGGAGCCTCTAGACCACTCGATCCTGTAGGGGTCGGCTCAACTAGAGGGCGTTTCTGAGACTCGGATCTCGGCTCTAGTTAGCCGTTGTCGTGGGGTGCGGGGAAAAACGCCCAGGTACGTACCTGTACCGGGTATAGCGTGTCGTGTGTAGACCGGATCTTCGCACTCTCATTTTACGGGTACGGTGTCTGCCTAGTGCTAAGCTATTGTGCAAGTATGCTAGCTGTGTAGTGTTGGTGTTTGTGGCCCGGTCCTCCCAAGGGATGACCAGGTCAAATAATTTGATGCTCGGAAGTGAACGCATGGGTGGCGGTGTCGTGCTGAAGAGGATCGCGACGCTTTTTTGCGAATTAACCTTCATACGCCATCTACGGAACCAATCGCAAAGAGTGGTAGCGGCTGATTACAGTCTATTACATACTGTTCCGAGACGTCTATCGGAGGTATAGAGGGCAGTGTCGTCGGCTTAAAGCACTAGATCAACCTTAGGAGTCTTGGGCATGTCATTCATAAAGACCGAGTAGAGGATGGGCGAGAGTGGTGAGCCCTGAGGGACGCCGGTGCGTATAAGGCGAGGCGAGGAGAGCGCTCCTTCTACGCGATAGTAAAACGAGCTATTCGACAAAAAGTCCCGTGTGATGAGCACGAGTCTGTCCGGCATACCGAGTTTGTATAGCTTATAAATTAAGCCATTATGCCAAACTTTCGCCGCGTCGAAGAAAGAAATGGGTATCACGGAGGCTCGAAATAGATCGCGGTAGTGGAGGATATGCTCTTTTAGGCAGTGCACCTGGTGGACACACGAGTGTTTGGGACGGAAACCAAAATGTTCGTTAATAATAAGATTGTTCGCGAAGAGAAAATCTTTTAGGTGGTTAGCGAGGGCCCGTTCGTAAAGTTTCCCTATCGTTTTGAGGAGACTTATAGGGCGGTAGCTAGAGGGTAAGGCGCCCTCCTTACCGGGTCTCCAGATGCCGATAAAGACGGCCTCTTACCACTCTGCAGAAAATATCGCGTTTGTCATAGCCGCATTAAAGATCGCGGTGATAAGGCAAAGGAGTTGGGCGGGTAAGATCTGAAGGACCTTACTAGAGATTCCGTCTGACCTGGGGACGCTATGCGGGCGCAGTTTACGGATTAGCGAGTGCATCTCGCTGCATTTCACTTGTTGGGATTGCTATCCTCAATGTAGTATCTTGGTTTTTTAATGTAAAGTAATTTTAATATTATTCTATATTTTTCTTTAAATAAAAATTCCAAAATCAGACGGAAATATAAAAAACCCGCAAAAAACAATTTCATGTAAAATGTTGACAAGAAGAGATTATGTGACTCGCACTGTTCAAAAGTTATCAGATCTCATGTAGAGCCAAGCTTCTTACTGTACACACCCTAACGCTACTAGGTCTCTAACTTCAAAAACTCTACACTCTAGTCAAAATATGTAACTTAGCTACATTCACATGGGTGTAAGGTGTAAACTTTATTCACTTTTCATTACTTTTATGTTTTTTTTTTTCATTTATTTTGGCAACAAACAGTCATTAACATAATATTGAGGTGCATGCATATTTGTAAATATTAATAGACCAAACAGTGCCCTTATAGCTTATACAGTTATAGTAGCAAAGAGAGTCTTAACATAATTAGGTTTGCACGTGTATTCATCTAATGGTAAACAATTTATTGACATAAAATAGTAAACAACTTATAACAAAAACAGGAATTTTCATAAACACTATTTTTTTGGTTTTTCCATCAATATACCATTTGGTTTTCTTTTAAAACTATTAATAGATAGATAAAAACAATCCAAATCAGAGAACTCTTTGTTACAAACGTTGGTGGACGTATAAATTACGTGTATAGTTTTTGCATTGTTTTTAGAGAACATTGGCGGCACGCTGGGACAGTCCCAATGTTGAAGCGCTGGGTGCACCTACATACTTCACACCCATGAATAATGTCGTACCTATATCTATTAATTGTTAACTGAATTTAATTGACATGCACAATAGATTATAATCGTGAATATAATTAATATGGCGGATAATTTGGTAATGAATTATTAATTAATATACTAATACTACTAACATAGGATAAACCCGACATCCATAGTTATTAGTACAAGTTAGTAACACTAACTTGTACTAATAACTATGGATTATAATTCTATTATATTCATCTGAAATAAATGATTATTATTATTTATTATTATTTTGTAACGGCGAAGAAACAAAAAATTGCAATTTACAAGAAGAGCGCACCGGGAGACGAACTCCTGGTGAAATGGAAATTTTGCTAATAAGAATGGACATGTTATACAATAGTTCTTGTTATTACGAAACGGTGATAAGTATTTTGAATAAATTGTAGAGTTTGTGAAGATAGACTACCGACTTCAAATAAAAGATGGATGTTCTCAATTCGACTGTATTTTTTTTATGTTCATAACTTTTCTTCAAATGATAATGCTGTAATAATCAATTGTTAGTCAATGTGTTATCAACGCTGTGTTCATATGTTTCAACAATATTGTGCAAATAGCATAGACTGGCCGTCACCACCATATTTAGATCTGTTTACCGCCGTGAAAAAAATATTTAAAATATAATTCCGGAATTCATATGAACAATGAATAAAGTCGCGATCAGAAAGTAATTGCGGTATAAAATGCCACAAGAGTTCTTTTACCGGTAACATTTAAAAAACCCTCATGAGGTAAAGCAATTATATATATTTTATATTCAACAGTAGATTAATGAAGGAAATGAGATTATCTGATTGCGAAAACAACGTAATATATTTACAAACATCATTATATATTTTTATTATACTTTATAATTATACTGATCAACGAGACATTAGAAGGCGCCTATCTGTCTAAAGAGAATCTGTTTATTAACATTAAGGCCGTTGCCTTCTCTAAATTCGTGTTAGAGTACCAAAGGTTCAATGATAACATCAAATGTTATTATAAACATTGACCTACATGTGACTGATACTTTCAAAACGTTATATCTTTGGGTGTATGATATAGTTTATATAACATTTTGCAGTGTTATAGAATATCAGCAACGCGTAGCTTTCCCAAACACAATCTTAGTTTAACATCCAAAAAGTTTTAAAGCAAACGTCTTACCTCCGCTCCATATTCCCTCCAAGGTATTAGCTGCCTCTCTGTCTCTCGCGAGGAGACGAACAGAGCCACCCTCTGCGGGCGCAGGGCTCTCAGAAACCTCGGCAGTGAAGACCCTAACACCACCACGTCTTCCGGGCAGGCTCCCACCGCGTTCCGAACTAACACCTTCGATTCCGATCTGCAGACAACGGGTAGACATTATATCATCAGTAACATCGGCCTATTGATGCCCCCACTGCTGGGGCACAGGCAAGGGCGTTGCCAAGGGGCAACGCCCTTGCCAATACAGACACAAAAACATCAAAAATCTAGCCAAATAAATGTAGAGCAACCAAGCTTGCTTGCCAGACCAAACATTTCTGCTTCCCGCAAGATCGAATGAATTCACTTGGTATTTCTGCGGGTACATTTAAAACCTAAATCGCTTTCTGAAATCACCAGTAAATTTTCTCAGCTAACTTAAAATTTACGACGCATAAAGGCTTTTAAAATTATTAAAACCGGCCTGCCGCCATCTAACTAGCAAACGCTTCGTAGCGAAGTCCCAGATTTCCTAGAATTCCCAGAAAACTACAAATTGTAGGAAGGATATAACACGTGAATGAATTCCACTTGCGAATAGTACGACAAAGAAATGAGTCACCAAATTCCTTTGTTCGTATAGAAATAGTGGCCACAGTAAGCTTGTAACGACAATTTGAGATAAAAATCCAATAAGTTTGACATTTTTATTCACGTTAAAATATGCTATCAAACGTAAGCTACCGCAAGTAGAGTTAGTGACGAAGTTAGCTTATACGATACGACAGAAAATCGTGTGGCTCAAAACTACCCTTAACTACAGTTCCAGTGCGATTCCAACCCCCATGCCCCCGTTACGTACCCTTAACACGGGGTAAAGGTAACTTTGATATTCAATAAGAAAAAACTGATCATTGAAATAATGAATTTAATGCAGGATCAATATTTGTTTTAATATTGTATGGTCTGCACTTACGAAAAAATTAAATACAGAAGTGAAAAATATTATTGAACTTTTCCACTCGTTTCCTGTACATTGTATGTTCAAGAATAAATAACAAAAAAATCAAGTGCACTTCTCAGCTTAAGTATTGTGAACTTGTGACCTTTCAGTTTTCCTTTCCGGACTAATTTAAAGAAATGAGGTCATTGCACAATTGCTGATAATACAAAATAAGTTATTAAGCGAAGGGACTGAATAAGATATTTTTAATTTCTTCAATTAGTAAATGAAAAAAAAAGTTGTGTAACTTTTTTGGCGCAAATAGTGAAAAACGCGAAGCGATCGCGCACGTAGGGTTCCGTACAAGACGTAATGCTTAATTTTGAAAACACACACAGTGAATCTTGGACAGAAGCACATAGAAGAATTGTACGTATACATATATCATCAACTTTGACAACTGAAAACATTACACTCTTTATTTGGGCAGTCATGTAAAATGGTCGAATTTTAGCCAGCAGGCGATTACATAACCTCTGTGAAGTTAGCCCCCCACTTTTTGAATTTTTTTATTATCTAAGTTGTTCTGGGTTGTTCTATGTTTGTTCTACATTGTTCTAAAGTATTATTTGAAAAAACTAAAATTTGAAGCTGCCAGACAAGAAAAACCGTTTTTCTATGGTAGCCCCCCATGTTTGGAAATTCAATATTTTTTTAGTTGTTCCAAGTTGTTCTAGTTGTTCCGAACATTGTTCCAAAGTATTATTTGAAAATATTCAAATTTGAAGCTGCCAGACAAAAAAAAAACGTTTTTATGGTAGCCCCCCATGTTTGGAAATTCAATATTTTTTTAGTTGTTCCAAGTTGTTCTAGTTGTTCCGAACATTGTTCCAAAGTATTATTTGAAAATATTCAAATTTGAAGCTGCCAGACAAAAAATAACGTTTTTATGGTAGCCCCCCATGTTTGGAAATTCAATATTTTTTTAGTTGTTCCAAGTTGTTCTAGTTGTTCCTAACATTGTTCCAAAGTATTATTTGAAAATATCCAAATTTGAAGCTGCCAGACAAAAAAAACGTTTTTATGGTAGCCCCCCATGTTTTGAAATTAAATACTTTTTTAGTTGTTCCAAGTTGTTCTAGTTGTTCCTAACATTGTTCCAAAGTATTATTTGAAAAAACTCAAATTTGAAGCTGTCAGGCAAAAAAAACCGTTTTTGAGATAGCCCCCCATGTTTGGAAATTCGTTATTTTGAAAGTTGTTCCAAGTTGTTCTAGTTGTTCCTAACATTGTTCTAAAGTATTATTTAAAAAAACTTAAATTTGAAGCTGTCAGGCAAAAAAAAACCGTTTTTGAGATACCCCCCCATGTTTGGAAATTCATTATTTTTTTAGTTGTTCCAAGTTGTTCTAGTTGTTCCTAACATTGTTCCAAAGTATTATTTGAAAAAACTCAAATTTGAAGCTGTCAGACAAAAAAAACCGTTTTTCAGATAGCCCCCCATGTTTGGAAATTCGTTATTTTGAAAGTTGTTCCAAGTTGTTCTAGTTGTTCCAAACATTGTTCCAAAGTATTATTTGAAAAAACTCAAATTTGAAGCTGTCAGACAAAAAAAACGTTTTTCAGATAGCCCCCCATGTTTGGAAATTCGTTATTTTGAAAGTTGTTCCAAGTTGTTCTAATTGTTCCTAACATTGTTCCAAAGTATTATTTGAAAAAAATCAAATTTGAAGCTGTCAGGCAAAAAAAAACCGTTTTTGAGATAGCCCTCCATGTTTGGAAATTCATTATTTTTTTAGTTGTTCCAAGTTGTTCTAGTTGTTCCTAACATTGTTCCAAAGTATTATTTGAAAAAAATAAAATTTGAAGCTGTAAGACAAAAAAAAAACTTTTATTTATAAAATAAAATCAATCGTACCTACCAGAGACAATAAATATATCAAAAATCAATTTAAACAATGACGATTATACAACAACAGTACAACCGTGGGCTAAATCGTTCCAATTTCATTTAATCATTTTGAATTAAATTAATAGAAAAGAAAACATTAGAATATAGGGTAAACTCCCTAATTATTGGCACTTTAAGAGTAGGTAGCTGACATTAAATTACAATAAAATTGGTAAGTAGATGGGGGATACCATAAAAAACAAAAGTGACATAGTGCCAACTTGCGCTTTTGCCCTGAGGGTAGATACCACCCCTGCTCGGGGGTGAAAATTATTTTAATAAAAATAACTCCAGGAATCGATAGAAAGACAAATTCTAAGTAAAATTTGTTATATTAAGTTTTCGGAATAAATCAATACTTTCTGAGTTATTAATGATAAAATGTTGTGATTTTGCGTTATAAAAATACATGTTTAAGCGGTTTTTCATAAATAACTCAAAAACTATGAGCTTTACAAAAAAATGTTAGTACCAAAATTGAAGCTAAAAAAAAACAAACAAACGCCTACTTTGAAAAATCTTCTAATTTCAATTCAAAGTGAGCTATAGGTTATAGGTATTGTATGTACATATATTTTTTTCGGCAAGTACTTAAATCTAAGTATTCAAACCTAAATAACGGGAAACCGATGAATTTATGACATACATTTCCGGAGCACTTTTTAAATTTCTCAGGAATACCTTTATAATGAGTACTGTAAAAAGTTAACAACTTCAAAATTTAAAAAGTTATGATAAAAATAAGATAACACTTATTTTTTTAGGAAAAACGAAAAATAAACCCTTCATTAAACCATTCATCAAAATGCATCGGTTTCCCGTTATTTAGGGTTGGAAACTTAGATTTAAGTACTCGTCGAAAAAAAATATACATACAATTACCAATAGCTCACTTTGAATTCATATAAGAAGGTTTTTCAAAGAAGGGGTTTGTTTTTTTTTTATTAGCTTCAATTTTGGTAATAATTAGACTTGCAACGAATAGTATATTCGGCAGTATACCGAATATTCGGCGAGGCCCCTGACCGAATAGCTGAATATTAGGCAAAAGTATCCGACTGGATTTTAGCGCCAAAAACTTGTACAAACGTGATTGTTTCGCGCCCTTTTGTTTGCAGTGCAATTCAGTCAAACGCAGTTTCAACAGAAATGGATCTTTTCTTAAATATTAGTAATATATCACGTCATGACAACCCATATACATGGTGGCAGCAAGGAAAATTGAATTTCCGTGTTTGATTAAGATTGCAGCAAAATATTTGTCGGCGCCAGGAAGTAGTGTTTATTCAGAGCGCCTTTACTCTGAAGCTGGGATGGTGTTCGAGAAAAAAAGAATTTCTACTACTTCCTAAAAATGCAGAAAATTTAATCTTTCTGCACCATAACCTTCCCCTTCTAAATTTTGATTATGAAAATAATTCAAATGCATAGAAAAATTCTTAACTTGTTTAATACAGAAAATGATGAAATTATGTACCTGTTTTATGTACCCATGACTACTTAATAAATTATTATAAAATAAATGAGAACCTTACCCTTTTAAATTTTGATTACCACAATAATTCAAATACATAGAATCCTCCATTTTTCCAATTCAGAAGATGATTATGTACCAATGACTACTTTAATGATTATATATAACAGAAATGAAAATATGAATATATACCTACGTAATCAATCGATATTAATTTTCATTTTACCAATTATTTCTCTATGACAAAATATATTATTTAAGTATTCGGTATTCGGCCGAATATAATAAAAGCAGCCGAATAGGCCGAATACCGAATAGTAACCGAATATTCGTTGCGTCTAGTAATAATATATTTTTCTTTAAACTCATAGTTTATGAGATATTTATGAAAAACCGCTTAAATCATGAATTTTTTGACGCAAAATCACAATCTTTGATCATTATTAACTCAGAAAGTATTGATTTATTTCGAAAACTTAATATAACAACTTTTGCTTAGAATTTGTCTTTCTATCGATTCCTGGAGTTATTTTTATTAAAATAATTTTTACCCCCGAGAAGAGGTGGTATCTACCCCTAGGGAAAAAGCGCAAGTTGGCACTATGTCACTTTTGTTTCATATGGTATCCCCCACCTCATCACCATTTTTCATGAAAATCGATGGAGGTTCATCGAAATCGGAGGTTATAGCTGATTTTTGCCTTCATTGACTGTACTATTATGAAAACAAAGATTGAACTATATTTCCTTGATACTGTTACATGTGTTGTGTACTAACTCATTTAGATGTGATTATGGTAATTTAATGTCTGACTGACATGGAACCTACTCTTAAAGTGCCAACAATTAGGGAGTTTACCCTATAGTGTAATGTTTTCTTGTCTTATAACTATTAATTTTATTCAAAATGATTAAATGAAATTGGAACGATATAGCCCACGGTTGTACTGATACGATCGTCATTGTTTAAAATTATTGTTGGTTTATTTATTGTCTCTAGTACGATTTGATTTGGCGGGCTATCTGAAAAACGGTTTTTTTTTGTCTGACAGCTTCAAATTTGAGTTTTTTCAAATAATACTTTGGAACAATGTTAGGAACAACTAGAACAACTTGGAACAACTTTAAAAATAACGAATTTCCAAACATGGGGGGCTATCTCAAAAACGGTTTTTTTTTGCCTGACAGCTTCAAATTTGAGTTTTTTCAAATAATACTTTGGAACAATGTTAGGAACAACTAGAACAACTTGGAACAACTAAAAAAGTATTTAATTTCAAAATATGGGGGGCTACCATAAAAACGTTTTTTTCTGTCTGGCAGCTTCAAATTTGAATATTTTCAGATAATACTTTGGAACAATGTTCGGAACAACTAGAACAACTTGGAACAACTAAAAAAATATTGAATTTCCAAACATGGGGGGCTACCATAAAAACGTTTTTTTTTGTCTGGCAGCTTCAAATTTGAATATTTTCAAATAATACTTTGGAACAATGTTCGGAACAACTAGAACAACTTGGAACAACTAAAAAAATATTGAATTTCCAAACATGGGGGGCTACCATAAAAACGTTTTTTTTTGTCTGGCAGCTTCAAATTTGAATATTTTCAAATAATACTTTGGAACAATGTTCGGAACAACTAGAACAACTTGGAACAACTAAAAAAATATTGAATTTCCAAACATGGGGGGCTACCATAGAAAAACGGTTATTCTTGTCTGGCAGCTTCAAATTTTAGTTTTTTCAAATAATACTTTGGAACAATGTAGAACAAACATAGAACAACCCAGAACAACTTAGATAATAAAAAAAATTCAAAAAGTGGGGGGCTAACTTCACAGAGGTGATCACTTCAACAGAAATTCGATATAGCAAACCCCTTTTTAACCGACTTAAATAAAGGAGGAGGGTCTGTGTTCGACTGTATATATTTTTTTATGTATGTTCACCGATTTCTCCGTCAATTATGGACCAATTTACAAAATTCTCTTTTTATTCGAAAATGTGCACTTCCGAGATGGTCTCATTGGAACCAAGCCAGGATCTGATGGTAGAATCCGGGGAAATCGAGGGAATCCTTCAAATTTCAAAGGCACGAACGATGTTTTTTATGCATGTTCACCGATTTCTCCGTCAATTGTGTTATTGTTTACTTGGACGCTGTAATTTTCACCAAAATGGGAATTAAAGGATAAAAAAAAATCTCTATTCTCTGTAAGTAGGTAACTATAGGATTTGCCTTGCAGAGCCAGAAGGTGCAGGATTGAAACCCGTCTGATCCTGGACCGCGTGGAATTTATCTAGTAATATTTTCTATGGATTTATCGGATAATTTAGTTAGAAGCCGGTCACCTGTAAATCTCGCTCTGTCCTGAGGTGTAGGAGAGAGCAGTGCACTGTGTGGCGTGTGTCGGCAGTACGTCTCGCGCGATGTACTCCTCAATCCACTGCAGGGACCGCCCGGAGCCATTGTAATCACAATACACCACTGCAACAAGAATAAACAACGGTTAAAAATGTTATACGTACATCAAAAGATTTTAAAAATAAGTATTTTACGCAATTCCAGCGGATTGGTGGGTGCTGATGACTGCAGATGCAGCCGGAACCAACGGCTTAACGTGCATTCCGAAGCACGGAGGAACTCGAGATAGAAGATTTTTTGGTTACCCATCCAATGACCGACCATTGCGAAAGTTGCTTCACTTTCGCGTTCGGCTGCAACGACCGCAGCCGAACGCGCTAGCCACCTTCGCCATCGAGCTCCTCGAGTCAAGGTAATGTTATTTGCCGAGCTTATGTACCCACTTCTGAAGAACAGGCAGGTTCTGGTGAGATGGCGTCATTTACTGACTATACTCTTTATTGCACACAAAAAAAATAGTAAGATACAATACAAAATAAGTATAATAATACAAGATAAAATTAAATATGTGAGAAAAGAAGGGCTTATCTCTAAGAGAGATCTCTTCTAGCCAAGAAAGATTTAGTAAGAGACAGATGTAAGCGGATACAGAAATTTATTCCAAACCCCAAAACCTTTCTTTATAACATAATAACAACGCGTTCGTTTTTTAAGCTTCAAGTAGTTTTTCGTCGAAGTTTGATGATACCATATTGTAACCAATATTGTAACTAACTCGATTAGGCGTCCACAGAGCAGTAGCGCGGGTTCGTCGAACCTTGGACCCAATGTCAGACAGGTTGACCGTGATCCGCGAAACAAAACACAAACACAGATAGTCACTACAGATATAGTAATACAACATACCTTCTTGCACATATAAGTAGTTGCGAAAAAAATGGATACAAATTCTAGAGTATAAATCTATATCTTATACTGTATATGTGATTGAAACGATATATGGATACCAAGTTTTTTGAAGTGAAACTTCTTTACGCACGCTTGACTTGGAGGGTAAGCTGGCGAATGCGTTACGCGTTACGAAAAGTGTGTTCGGGCGAGGCGAACGGAAGTTGAGTGGGGGATATAAGCAAGAGAAAACAGTGCGCGCGCACATTTTCTTTCACTCTTTCTCTTATAGCTAGTAAATGAAATATGTATATGTACATACATGTATATATTGTACACACACATATATATTTACAGATGGAGCTAAATGAATTTCACTTCAGTTGTGTGGTCATAAGCACACTCGTTTTTCATTATTTGTTGTTATAGCGGCATCAAAAATACATCATCCGCGAAAATTTCAACTGTCTAGCTATCACGGTTTCTGAGAGACAGGCAGGCAGACAGACGGACAACGGAGTTTTAGTAATTTTCCCCTCTTTAGGTACGGAACCCTAAAAAGCTATTAATTTCCATTTGAACTTGAGCCAACATCAGTAATAACCTATAAGATTACTGTTTAACAACCACAAAATTGTATTTGCATGCTTGAATATGCACGTGAGCTGGGTACTAACTTTCCACGCTAGGGAAGTGCTATTGTATAGGTAAAATGTAACTGTGTTATACTACGAGATATAACTAGCCGGTTAATCGTAAGTAACATTATAGAAACATTATTTGTATCCCCTAATTTATTTCGATCTGCTTTTGTTGGAACAATTTTATTTTTTTTCACTCACATCAATTAGCCCCATAGTAAGCACTGTATGGCTTAGGATACTAGGGTAACGGATAAAATGCATATACTGTACATATAGAAATGCATATTAAACATCCATGACTGAAGTACAAATTCTCGTATTCATCACACACACATCTGCCCCCACCGGGATTCATACCCGGGAGGGACCGTTCGAGTCGGTGAAACCATGAAACCGGCGTACAAACAACAATTAATTGTTTTTTTGAAACACATACAATAAACTATCTGTGTGCCAAATCCATTCAGCCTTCTTTGCGGGATTGTATAACGAACATGTCAAACTTTCACATTTATAATATGAGTTTGAAATAGGATTACATATATTACAAATACCTACAATAAATAAGTAAGATTGATGTCATCTGACTACCCAATTTCGAAATACCAAGAATTGCATTAGAACTGGATCTGTTTTCATATAAACAAATTAATCATAAATTTCACTTTCGACAAATTCTGTCGTATTTTGTGACCTTTGTGTTTACGTCATCAGTGTCGAATTATCGACTCGATAATCTTTATAAGTAAGGACTTAATCGAAAGTGTATTGAAGTGTAATAATAAATTTTCGATTCAACACGATAAGTCAGGAATGAGCTATATTCATTGTAATTACATACATAACTTAACGTCATGTGTCCCTTGTAATCTTTTGAGAGTATCAAAAGATATTATTATATACATTATTATAACCATATAGTTAACATTATATCGCTTACCAGGCAGACTGTCCCCTTACTGATCCTATCCCTGTAGCAAAGGTATCCGTTTTTTATAACGTCTAAACTGTTAATTCTGAGCTGTGCCCCTAGCACGAACCAAAATCGAATTAGAATAGGTTGCGAGTCCGAACAGCAACGCTACAATGGACGTAACGAGAACTAAAAATCAGAACGCATTTGACAATGACATTTCGCACTCGCAAACTATGTATTTGAATTCGATATTGGTTCGTGCTAAGGGTAGAACTATCAACTTTATAACGATTTGACATTTCAGCGTGATAACCACATTATGTTGCGCGTGCATAGAGGGGTTAAAAACGGATTTATAATGAGCTTGCTCTTAAACGCAATTGATTTAATTTAACACGGCCATCAAGGTCGCGGTAGTATAATTGGTCAGTGCATCCGCCCGGATAGCAAAGGGTCCTAGTATAATTTTCTTTAGACTAACACATGTGGCAGTTAAATAAAAATATAATATTTTTGATGCCGTTATATTCAATTAGATAGTTTTTAATGGAAAGTTTATAAATACAAGCCCTACCAGACATAACCAAAACTATAGTCATAAATTGAAGTGTCACTAATGTGACATAAACAATGCACTCGTAAAGTTTGCAAAAAAAAGTATGATAAATACGATGAATACATTGACACTCCAATCATGCTGTTTATTTATATTTGTTCGAAAATATACTTTATCTATTTGTTTCATAGGTTTTCACGCACATCACTCATTAAATAAAACTAGTTTTAACTGTTTAATGCACGAACTTTATTTGTTTATTGACAGTTCGAAAGACTTTTCTTGAGCGTTCGGATATTTCATTGGAAGATTTTTAAAACTTTATTGTATGAATTTATTAGTTAATTTAGTTAATAAAGTACTTTATTTAAAATCTTTTTTGTAATTTTGAGTTTATTTATTTGACCCTAACTACCGTAAACTACCACCGGTTCCAAAATTGGGAGACCTTTCTGAGAGAAACCTTTCTTTTCGCGCGAAACAAACTCAGAGAGGCTTTCTATATATTTTATCTATGTATTTTTATTAAGTGTACTAGCAACCCTACCGTGTTCCCTCCTTCCTACAATCTAGGTTCCTATAAGAGAGGCGTGAAGAAGCATTTCTGCAAGACGGCAAGGTGAGGATGGTCGGTGTGGCAGTTTATAACTGCTCCACCAGCTATCTTCGCATCTAGTGCGGTAGAGTCATTTGCCTAACTAGCTATAAATAAAACCATACCACAAGCCTTGCAGTGCTTACTCTGGGGCTAGACTAATTAGTTTTTGTGTAAGAAATTTTATTTATTTGTAATATCAGACACAAAATTATACCTACAAACGTGATATAAACTGTTGATTTGCACCTTGTGTGTTCATTTTACTGATATTCCTTTGTTTGAGTTCAGAGCCATTGTTTCTGATTACATAGTCTGTATTGTCTGTGGAATGCAGTCGACCTTGCTCATAGACAACAATTATAATCTATCCTACTTTTATCTATAAATTTTCAGATATGAAAATATAGGGATGTTATAAACGTTTTCATATCTTGAATATCATTGGAAATAAAGAAATAGGTATAAGTGTTTTCTACTGGACACAGTGCTTAACCCACTAAACCTATGCAGATTGTGCTACCGAATCATCTATACAATTACAGAGTTTTCGAATTTTTGACGAATCATTCGATGGATTCCTTGCGGAATCTTGTTGCTCCGAAATTCGTTTGGCATAACACCCTTGGCATTATCTTCTTTAAACGAAAAGGAGATTGCTCAAATTGGCCCAAATACACAAAAAATATTGACATACACGGTAATTCTTGGCGTAATTTATAATTTAATTTACAGTCATTAGATTTCAACGGACACCTTTGTATAATATATTTACTTTAAAAAGGACTTTTAATTTCACCGGTTTGAAAAACATACGAATCATTTGTAATGGCTATGGGTGTAGTAACATTCAGCCAAAGACTGATCGAAGTTGTTTATATAAGATAATAACAAATCTATTTTGTAAAGATCGATAAAATAAATCATTTTTTTATTACACTGTGGTATTAATATCCACAACTATATTATCATTTTCACTAGATGCAAATGTGAGTAGACAACAGAGAGTAGACAATTATTATAGATGGTAGGCGACATCATAAAGTCTATTGCCATACATTTTTCGCCAAACACCTCCATAAACACATTATAATCTGTATATATGTTAGACTAAGGTATCTATGGGCCTAGGTTCCCTGACTATAAATTAATAAATAAATAAAATTATAAGATATGATACACTAAAAATCTAAAATATGGTTATCTTAAAAACATAACAAAAATAATGAAGCTACTGAATATATGGCTATAGAACCTAAATCTCTTAGCTTTCTTTGGTTAACGAGAGTTTAAAAATTCTCTCTAATCTGTGACCCATTCACAATCATTACACAGTTTCTGTCACACCTTATTATAACCGGAAATGACACCTGATTATAAAAGTTACTCTTATGCATTAACTTTAAAAACAGGCAACTATCTGTTAATCTACATGCTCTATATACTCCTACCTGAAACTAATCCATAATTTCGGTACTTGGCTTGATTTCCCTAGTTTAATATATAACTTATTTGTTTTTTATT